CGCGACCCGCAGATTGCGAGTCGAGTGTCCTAACCACCTGGCCATGCGGGCCATTTGACTGGTACAACATTAAATTCGAACAGATAGTTGAAGCAACTTAAAACATACCATATCATTTTTTCTGCTGATTTATCTAATTTTCTCTAACATTTGTTTAAAGCTAGCTTACTTAAAATAACATCACAGGAACAAAACATTAGGAAATGAACAACTGTCAACGTCAATACGAAGATATGTTTAGCTAAAAGCAGAAAGAGGAGATTAATTTTGAAAAAGTGTCTTGGAGAATGACTTTCTTGTAGGCGGCTACAATTAGGAAAATACAAAAAGTATATATTTTTTCAAAGTATATGAGTTTAGCGTCCTTCTTCTTTAGTTCAATTTATTTGTAATATTTCTTCGGTCCGTATTTTATGCACCGGTCAACAAAATAGGTGCAGAACGCCCTACCATCAAAGGTAAGATGGATTATTCAAAATTCCCACCGTACACGATTCATTGTTTTATGATATACTTCCTAATGAGTGAATAATCACGTGACAAACAAACTAACATTGGTCAAACTTATGCGAATGAAGACTGGCGTCTTTTACATAGTTTGTAGCTTGTTTTGTGTAATCCGACTCTCCTGATATATTCTCTCTTTAATCTTCTGTTCGTTCTGTAGGTAGCAATAAATTATCTTTGTCATACATCATGGAACTATCATGAAGCTTGTCGTAATTTATTTCATTTGCTCTTTAGATACAGCGTGCTACAGAGAAAAAGAGAAGCAGAATTTTTCAGTTCATCCAGAGGCGTCGCTAGGTATTTAAAAGATTCGGGGCTCGGGCCCAAAAGCGCGGGAAATTTTAGCGTTTCAGTACCGTATCGATCATGGGTTTCTTTTCTGAATTTTCAAGACACCAACTGGGGATTCGGAGCACTGTCAAGTAGAATCTGGACAGGGACCCTGGGTGCCAGTGCCTAACAACGCCTCTGAGTTCCTCAGTTAATGATTAACTTAGAATTTGTTGAACGTTCTTATAAAGGAAAATCAATGAATCTTACAAGTAATATTTTGTACCTTTAAAAAAATATATTTATTTTCAGTTGGCAACAATACAATAAGTATTTACGAGCTAGCAGTTCATACCGATTTTACTCTTTTCTCCATCAAGTTATTTATAAGAAAGGGTATCGAAGTATTATACTCAAATATGTATGCGGCGGATTTTATGAACTTCATTGGTATTTGGAAAAAATAATTAAATCAAATAGTATGGTTACTTCTGAAAAACAGAAACTCTGAAAATTTTTTAAAAAAAATTTATTAGGATAAAATAACTTTAAATACACTACCGTCGAAACAATTTGGAAACCAATATATATATACGTATGACTAGTACTTGAAAGTAGATTTTTAAGTTATAGTATTATAAAAATTAGTGTATCAGAATGTCTCTTTTCTTTGCAGTTCTACCAAAAAGTAATGAATAAGTAGTTAAATCTAAGCTATTCTACACTATGATTATAATATAGAAAATACTATTAAGGACTCTAGATATGTGTACCGAAGTACTAGTTGACTAAATTTGAGATTCACATGTGAGAATAAGTCGTTTGTTTTTTATTCTATTAATTGTAACTTACATAGCTCATTCGTATTCGTCTCAAACTAGAACACCGACTTTTTTTATTGGTATTTAATGTTTATCATCCTTTTTTGGTTTGTTTGTTTTTTGAATTTCGCGCAAAGCTACACTAGGGCTATCTGCGCTAGCTGTCCCTAATTTAGCAGTGTAAGACTAGAGGGAAGGCAGCTAGTCATCACCACCCACCGCAAACTCTTGGGCTACTCTTTTACCAACGAATAGTGGGATTGACCCTCACTTTATAACGCCCCCACGGCTGAAAGGGCCAGCATGTTTGGTGGGACAGGGATTCGAACCCGCGACCCTGAGATTTCGAGTCGAGTGCCCTAGCCACCTGGCCATGCCGGGCCACTCCTTTTTGGTACAGAAGACGGTTGATCTAACCTCGCATTTTTCTAAAAGAAAAAGTATATTTTTTGCACATTGACTATATCCATATTTTTTTCGAATGCCTAGAATAATATTATTCTAAGAGTAAAATAATTTTTAAAGTATATTTTAGACACTAAAACATATGACGTTAAATACTGTATTTCATATATTATAAGGAAAAAAACCCGGATTTTTACAATACTCTAGAAATGATTTGGTCAATATTTTCCAAGTTTTTCCGTCTTAATTTGTCTGTTAGCGGGCAGTATAATTATACAAAATAAAACAACTAATGTCTTTCATTGACTAGAATGACTACTTATAGCCTTATGTAGTAATCAAAGATAGCAGAAAATGCTTTTCTATTTCAACCTTTGTTTCGCTTTTGCGGCTTCATCAAGGCTAGTACAAAAACTGATTGATATGGATTTCATATTTTCATATTAATCAGTTTTAACACTAGCCATGATGAAGCCGCAAGTTTTTTTTTATTATTGACTGGAAAGTAAGGGCCGTTTTTTCTAAATTTATTTTCAAAAAGTCGTGTATTCGATGCGTTAGAATAACTATAAATTAAAAAATACGATTGAGTTATATAACTATATTCAATTTCAACCAGACTGAGAATGACTTTGTTTTAACAATATATGTATTATAAAAACTCATTATTTTGATATCTGTTTCTGAAAGGTGGTAAATAATATATACACTGCAAAGTTACTGCTATGTAGTCAGTTTACTACAAATCCAGGTATTATATTGTATACTTCCTTACTAATATGAACGGTATAGGCCCTGCCAGGTGGTTAGGTCGCTCGACTTGCAATCTGAGGGTCGCGGGTTCGAATCCCCGTCCCACCAAACATGCGCGCCCTTTCAGCCGTGGGAGCGATATAATGTGATGGTCAATCCCACGATTCGTTGGTAAAAGAGTAGCCCAAGAGTTGACGGTGGGTAGTGATGACTAGCTGTCTTTCACTGCTAAATAAGGGACGGCTAGCTCGAAATTCAAAAACAAATAAAACACAATCGAACTGAAATAGGTAAATATTTAAATTCAGAAAGAAGTTTCTCATCGTATTGATTATTTATGAAATTTTCTTGATTTTTATTCAAAGTAATAAGTATGGTCAAATATAATAGTTAAATTCTTGAGAAATTCTTTGTTTTTTTTTCAAAACAACCAAAATACGACTGACTAAACACAGTCTTATAACTTAATGGTAAGAAATTAATCCGATAAAATAGACACTTTTATTTAGGTTCTCGGTGATAATATGCTCTCTGTATAAATGAAATTGTTCCACGTGTATGATATATAAGACAAACTCTTTTGAAATTAGATTTTCAAAATTCATATGTGATGGTCAATCCCACTATTCGTTGGTAAAAGAGTAGCCCAAGAGTTGGCGGTGGGTGGTGATGACTAGCTGCCTTCCCTCTAGTCTTACACTGCTAAATTAGGTATGGCTAGCGCAGATAGCCCTCGTGTAGCTTTGCGCGAAATTCAAAACAAACAAACAAACAATCCTTTTCAAAATCGTTGTTCATCTTCACATGTTTTAACGTTCCTTTCTTCAACTAACTGTTTTTCATGAAGTTCTTTGTAAAACACTTTTTGTTTAATAATTTACTATGTATTTGTTACTTATGGTCAATCCGAACTTCGTTTAAGTGTTTTAAAACTGTTGCTTTTAAATTTTTCACTAAGATTGGAAGTCTTGACAATACAATTAATAGAGCTAATTTAACACAGTATTTCTTCTTGAACAATCTAAGGGAATTATAGTGAAATGTAAAAACTACATGGTTATTTTTTCTTCTAACTTTTGGTTATGTTCCTTTTCGGCTGCTACCTGCATTACATAAATTTATGTTAATGTTGCAAAAACTACGTTTTTACACTTGTTTGATTGCTCTAAAAACTAGTCTATAATTTATTTAAGTAACATAACAACTTAAAGTTACAACATGATGAAGTGGTATTATACAACAAATAGTAGTTTTATTATATAGCGGTTTACAGATCGACGAAATATTGGCGGGTGAGATTGGAGTAGATTTTGCACTCATGTTTCCAGAATTTTAATGGATTATATCGAGTAAAAAACAATAGAGGTTATAGAGTAGCCAGCAAGAAGTTCTGATCAGAATCCCATAAATTACGTTGGTTCTACATGAACGTTGTGTTAATCAATATTTTAACCTACCACACAATTTCCGACACACAGTGTCGCATTTTATGGGACAGGATCCTCATATTCTTTGATTAATCAGAAATTTTCTGTGCAGATGCGAAGAATGTAGCAATAATGCCACGAAGAAAATTCTTATTTGAATATCTATTCCTGTAATATGCGACTTATTCAAATATAAATGCTCACACCGGCCTAGTGGTTAGGGTGCTCGATTCGCGATATGAGTGTCACTCGCCCTTTCTGCCTATAATGGTGTTATAATATGACGGTCAATCCCACTACTCATTTTTAAAGAGCAGCCCATGAGTTGAAAGCGTGTGGCGTTGACTAGCTGTCTAACATCTAGTCTATCACTTCAGAATTAGGAACGACTAGCGTATATAGTCCTCGAGTAGCTTCGTGCGAATTTGAACAGGCAAAATCTCATCACTTTGAATTTGGGGTTCTCACATTCTCCTAGTATTAAATAGACATACACTTTCAATGAACCTAATTCGATATTGGTATTCTGTATATAAATACTGCTCCCAAAAGAAGCTTTTATTTTAACTTTATTCCTTCTTTGGCTGAAGAGCAACTTAACTCTAAAATATTTTATTGTTGGAGTTGTTTCTTTATATATTTGATATTTTTCATCGTTTTACATTGCACGTTATCATTTCTACCTGTATCTGTAAACAACGTAAATCTTCTTTATTTGCATTATATTTTCTCAGGTGAAGTGTATTAATATTCTTATATACTTATCTTTGTTAATTTCAACATAGTGGCGAGATCAAGAAATTGAAGAGGCTCATAGGGCAAAAACGGATGATGAATCATCACTTTGCATTATTTCTGAAAGTAGTAACTCTTTGTACGATTTAGAAGAATGGAGACATAAGACCTTCGGCCCTCACTTACGAACAAAAGTCTATGATGAAGAAAATTGCATAAATTTAGAGACACCTCTCGTGAATACCCTTACTGAAGGAGAAATGGTTAGTATTGCAATTTTGTTTACCTTAGCCAGACATACATACATAATAGTATAATCATAAAATAATCGTGAGAAATTCATATACAAGATAAACCACTTCGTTTAAACCACTTAAACGAAGTTTGGAATGACCATAAGTAACAAATACATAGTAAATTATTAAACAAAAAGTGTTTTACAAAGAAATTCAAAAAACAGTTAGTGGAAGAAAGGAACGTTACGAGATGAGTTCGAATCGTAAACGTTAAAACATGTGAAGATGAACAACGCTTTTGAAAAGGAGGAAATCATTAATGTCTCATATTGACTGTTCAGTTGTATGTTAATATCATCATATCATCATATGATTTTACGTCTTCTATCTTCAATGCCTTTTTTTATTTTTAGCGTTGAAGTTTCATATTCTTACATGCATTTAATCAGTTCAGATGCACTTAAGAACTCAGTTCTTACATCTATTATAGTTTTCCGTGTATCATTATACGTTTGTCGTTATAAAGATCAGGCCTTCATACGAATAAATTATATTTTAAACTAAAGTATATTGATGATTTTCAAATCAGAGGTTTCTCTATTGTTTCATTTTCATAACAAAACAATTGTGGATTGTTTATTTGTATTATTGGGAAGTTTTTGAGATTGAGGAATACTGTGATTCGTGTTATAGGGGGATTACTGCTGTTTTGATGCTCGATTATGGGAAGTAGTTTAAATTCAGCTGAAGGATTTGTTTGGTATATTCAATAATAAATATGTCTGTGTTATCTGGATGTGGTGTTTTGTATAATATATTCTTAGTATTCTTTCCAGCTCGTCTTATAAAAATCGTTACAAGAGGAAAACTAAATCTGAGATTATTAATGTAATAATTTTGAATACAAAACCCGCCTAGCATCTGATTACTTACGTGTTATGATTGCCTATTTGGTTGGTATTATGTTAGAGATACGATTACTTACTTGGACATTGTCTGTATATTCGCTTTAAATTGTTTTAGTCATGCAAGTACTCTAACACTGAGGGCACATTCTTTCACAATTTTGTCTAAATTTTGCTTAAATTACTAAATAATATCCACATTACACTGTGAATGACTTGTGCGACATTAAACCATCCAATTATGTTACATATGAAGATTGTCTCTTATCGTTTACATTCCAGAGTTCTCTACAGTCTTTCCGGCTTGGACATATAATTTCTACAGATGTGTGAATGTGATCCTTCTTGTTTCAAACCACTTCTCATCGGTTGTTTTGCCATAAGCTGTCAGACTGTGCCTTTTCTATGTAGTAAGCATTTCGTGACAACTACAAATTTTATATTGCTATCCGACACCTCGATTTACTGGATGGTAACTCCTTTTCAGTTAATGACCCAAACTCCAAATAATATGCTTACGTTTTAACTCTATGTTCACCTATATGTAGTAAAACTTTGGACCTCCATATTACATTTTGTATTTTATCATTCATAATGTCTGTATAATAGTTTCCAATAAAATCTTGAGAGATGTATTAGCTGACTGAACCAAGTTTAATTAACAATAGTACGCCAAAGAAATATATATATATATATGTAATAAAATATTCAAGTGAAATGTAGAGGACAACAAGTGAGTAAAATTTCTTACATAGTTTAATTAAACATCGTTCATAATTATAATTATTGGAACTCAATTCATGTTACAAAGAACTTAGGGAAGAACAAAAAATAAATAAGTTACAAACCAAGAAACGTGATAACAATGGCGCTTTCGGAAAGTATATCTTCCTTCTGAAATTACTCGAGTTAACGACTATTTTTATAGATGATCGATGACATCCGAAAAGATGTACACGGTGTACTAGTGTCAGTATAACATCCATACTTTTTAGATGAGTCTCATACGATATCTATATCATAATGTTGTGATCTTTCTTATAAAAATATAAAACAATGAAAATTTTGAGCATAAAATCATAATTAATTTAAATTGTTTTAGGAGTTTAGCTATATTTTTGAAACCACAAATGTGTCTAAGATTTAGTATGCCTTTATCGAAACGTGAACGTTTTTTTTACTATGAATATATAGTAAGAGTAACACCTATCTCAAATCATTGGTATTGTATCGAACTAAAAGTTCCTACTGTATGGTGATATTGTTGAGTGCGAAGGATGTCAGTGCCACGCTCCTTCTCAAGTTACAGCTTATGGAGTTAACCTTTGAAGTTAATAAGAATACAAATATTGAAGTATCTTAATTCTTTAAATTCAGGTGATACAAGTTTAAAACACGTTCAATATATAGATAAAATTTAAAATCACGATTTATTCATGAGCATGGTTCAATGTCTAAAGGAACTAATTCTTTTTAAATAAGAAATATATAGAGAATAATGGAGTGTGTTTTTTAGAAGCATAAATTCTGAAATAGAATAATACATATTACAAAACGGTATTAAATGATACTAAATATATTTTGGGATCCATTAAAAAACAAAATCCATTAAAAAACAAAATATTTTATCAATGTAAGAGACGCCTGACATTATCAGGATACAATACTAACGGCTTAATTAAAAATTGATTATGTTTCCATTAAGCTACAATAAATCTACATTATAAGACACATAATGAACTAATTACATAGAAATAAGGTATGGGCAAATTTCAGTAACGAATATTTTAATTGTCTTATTTCATTTTGTTGTTTATTGTTGCTATTTATTACTATTTCTAAATGTAAATACAAGTTGCTTTTAACTAAAAACTGATTATTGGATGATAGCCTCAATTCTAGTTTAGAGTGACTTTAATCAGCTTAAGTTATAAATTGAACTGTATAAAAAGTTTCGATGCCTACGCCTTTGTTTACGAGTGTTGTAGTTCAGTTTTGTTTCATGATCTATTTGAAAACTAGTTTGAAGAAACTAAAATAATATTAAGAAACTAGTATTAATTTAAAATACACATATAATATTTAAATTATTTTATCGAAATGACATTTCAAGAAGACGAGAGTTTGTGCTTTACAGAAGTCAAACGTCATTAAAATATTTTTAAAGAGAATATGGTAGCATTCTTTAATAAGGCAAAACATTACTTGATATTTAGTTGTGAAGTGTATTTAACTTGTTTTATTTGTTTGCTGTTAAGTACGAATCTACACAATGACTTATCTGTGCTCTGCCCAGTATGGATAAGAAACCCGAATTATAGTAATATAAGCCCTCAGACGTAACGCCGAGTCCCTGGGCTCGAGTTTTGGATTTGATACAAGGGCAACTGTTCCTCCAAAATACCCCTACTTTTCACTTATTTCATCAGCCTCGAAGTAATTCTTTAATCACCACATTTTAAATAAAAACTACGCAGAAAAATGAAATGTTATCGTGAACAAAAATACGTGTACACTTAAATAGCACTCTTGAGCCTTTTCACGGGAAATAGAAAACATAGTACAGACATTCAGACACATATTTTCAACTTATTCGACTGTACAAAGGATAAAATATATTGTTAGTAATAAATGTCTATTTTTCTTTATGTTTTAAGGCCAAGTAAGTAATATTTGTGTTAAAATAGGAAAATAATATTTATTAATTAACATTTAAACACTACTTAAAACTTTTTAAAACACTGGCTCTATAACGTTATTAATATTAGGCCTATTTGTATTCTAATTTATTCACTAGGCCTAATACATAAACGTAATGTATGGCTTAGCTGAAACAATACAATGTCAAAAAACTTCTTAATTAAACTATTTTCCTGATATATCACCGAAGTAATAACAAAAATAATAAAACAAACCTTTCTAACAAACCAAAATAAATATTGAGCATTCAACATAAACACCATAGTTGGCCTAAGAACAATCAGGTGATAGTTTTGTTGCTAAGCGACGATGTATATTGTTAAGCATTACCAAAAAGGGAGCGTGAAAGCGTTCTCGACAGTGTGACAAAGGGAATAAGCATTTTATAATTACTGATAAGGCAATGGTTGTATTTTGTCATTGTTTTTATCTACCCATTAAAAATGTCCAGGCAGAACTTCCTGTAAAAACGAAATAAAGTTATGACTAATGCTCCCAAATAGTGTTTTACTTATTTTTCGAGTTTATGTTAATCTGTTGTTTTATCGCAAAGCTACAAACGGGCTGCCTGTGCTCTACTTACCGCAAGAAATATAACTCCGAATTTTAGCATTGTAAGTGCGTATACTTACTGCTGACCAACCTTCGGACATTTTGTAAATTAAAGGTATTGATTAGTTGTTGCGTGAATTAAGAAATATGTATCATATCTCGCAATATACAAAAAAAGAAAGATATTTAAGTGAAAAATTGCCCAGACGTTGTTTTTCCTTTATTTAATGTGGCAAATAGTTTTTATATTGTTCATCCCTAAGACTTTAATTTGTAAACTCTACTCAGAAATATATTTTACACAAATAGCTTTAACTAATTTGGTAGGAAAATGATAATTTCATATATGTAAGAAGTCGTTGATGTTTGTATTGATGAAAAATATTATACTGTAAACAATGAAGCTAATTACCTAAGTTTTTTTGTTTTTGAGATAAAGGTTTCAAACCAGGTTATGACTAAACCGGTGACTGTTATATCAAAACATTTTATGGTTTGCCTGGTAAATCTTTCTATACCGAGACTTTGTTTGGAGTGACTTTGGTGCAGTTTTACTCATGTGTATTCTATTAGTCCTATTCGAGGGATACAATTAGATTATCTTTGAAACAAAAAGTATCTGTATTTATAGATAAAAAGCGCGTTCTAGGAATTTATCAAATGTTTTTATTTTTTTCACTAACTGTGTTTGTAGAAAACTATATCATCAGATGCTAGTAGAGAGCACTGTGTAAAAAATGACCAAATGACCAAAAGTAAGTAGAAATAGTGTTAAAATAATAAAATATTAAAATTATATGCTTGTTTTTCTTTATACACCAATTACTGGGATCTCTGATTTTAGACTATTGAAAGGAATATTGAAGTCTAAGCTTTATCAATACATTGGATTGCATAACACTAAGAAAATGTAATAACATATTGTGCCATGAAACGAAATAAATACGTTTTAGGTACGGTTTCTTCACGCCCAAATGTCGTCACTAAATTAATTAAATAAAATAAATTAATAAAATTAATTAATTTAATAAATAATTGATGTCAAAATTGCGATTGTTGATTTTTGAAGGAAATTATGACAAAAAATGAAGTACTATGAAATTTATTCAGAAATACTATTAGTTATTTAATGCATGTTAAGTTACATAGATTGTATATGTCATGTATCAAGAAAGAAAGAATGATCAGGAAAGTCATTCTACCTACAAAATTGTGTATAAATATCATTTACTTTACCATTGAATCGACAGTATTTGATTTTTCTCTTCTGTTACATGTTATTTCTTTCTTACATGTGTATTTAGGATATGTTTATCTGAATACAGACATTACCTTACAAATTTACAGGTATTCATTCCTTCATTATTTGAACCTTAGGATCAACCGAGAATGTTGTAGCTTGTAGAAATTTCTGTATGATTTTGTTATTTACAGGTTTGTTTTTATAGAGTTAGATTCACTTCAATTTTGAAGGTTATGAAGAAAGCTTAATTTTGTCATTTCCATGAAATATCTATTTCACTTGGAGAAATTATGGTAAACTGTAGATTAATGAAAATATAAATTTAATGGACATGCTACAGAGTGTGTTATATTCACATACTCATTTTGATGTAATGATGATTTTTCTGTAAGCTTATGCCATAAGTTTTTTGAAACTTTGAACTCGAGAGGAATCCTACGAGTAGGAGTTGTGGATGTGTAACAACTTTCAAGTGAATAATCTCATAAAATAAATAAATTATTGAATTTACCGAAGACAATGCAGTTTTATTTATATACCAACCTATATATATTTTCATTGGTGAAAAAATGTTTCTTTCTAAAAAGTAAGAAGTTTTGACGCAATTATTTGTGTAATAACAAATTTATTTCTTTACAACGTTTCGTCTCTACAATAAGACATTATCACGTACAACGTTCAAGTACAAGTACATTCAAACAAGTCAGATGTATCCGCAATTTGAATATTATACGTGATCATATTTCACTGTTAAAGACGAAACGTTGTAGAGAAATAAATCCATTATCCCACAAATAGCTGTCTCAAATATCACATTTTTTGTAAGTGGGTACCCCTGAAACAGTAAATATTTTTTTTCAAAGTTACAAACCTACTATCTGTCAAAATACCTCATCCTCTATAAATTTATGTTTTACTGCCAAGAAAAATATAAAAAAAAACATAAATGTCGGATCTTAAACCGTTAAATTTGATATGATTAGCAACTATTAGGAATTAATCAGCTAAGATAGAGAAAATAATATCCTTTTTATTACACATGTTTGAAGTACCTCTGCTCGTTTTAACAACAAAAGCACAATATTTTTTTAAGCTGCCCTGTTCATAAAAAGTTCTGTGAACGTTCTGAAAACAGTAGAC